TGCAATAAGTATATTTTTTTATAATTAATTTACATAAAAAAATTATAAAAAATTATATATTTTTTAATACCACTTACACATAAAATCAAGAAAGAACTCTCAGACTGGATTAATCCGGGGAAGCTACTCAAACTCATCCAATTAAGATCCTTTCTATGGATTAAAGCTAAAAAAGACAAGTATGCTTTTAATCTATCAGACTGACTAATTAATCCTGCTGCGTGTTTGAAAGACTACCGTGGGAAAAAAGGGCACTAAAACAGTTATAAAAATTTATATATTTTTTAATACCACTTACACATAAAATCAAGAAAGAACTCTCAGACTGGATTAATCTGGGGAAGCTACTCAAACTCATCCAATTAAGATCCTTCTATGGATTAAAGCTAAAAAAGACAAGTATGCTTTTAATCTATCAGGCTGGCTAATTAATCCTGCTGCGTGTTTGAAAGACTACCGTGGGAAAAAAGGGCACTAAAGCATCCTATCTATGGATTAAAGCTAAAAAAGATAGGTATGCTTTTAATCTATCAGACTGGCTAATTAATCCTGCTGCGTGTTTGAAAGACTACTGTGGGAAAAAAGGGCACTAAAACACGTATAAAAATTTATATATTTTTTAATACCACTTACACATAAAATCAATAAAGAACTCTCAGACTGGATTAATCCGGGGAAGCTACTTGAACTCATCCAATTAAGATCCTTTCTATGGATTAAAGCTAAAAAAGACAGGTATGCTTTTAATCTATCAGACTGGCTAATTAATCCTGCTGCGTGTTTGAAAGACTACCGTGGGAAAAAAGGGCACTAAAGCATCCTTTCTATGGATTAAAGCTACAAAAGACAGGCATGCTTTTAATCTATCAGACTGGCTAATTAATCCTGCTACGTGTTTGAAAGACTACCGTGGGAAAAAAGGGCACTAAAACGGGCACTAAAACACTTACAAAAATTTATATATTTTTTAATACCACTTACACATAAAATCAAGAAAGAACTTTCAGATTGGATTAATCCGGGGACGCTACTCGAACTCATCCAATTAAGATCCTTTCTATGGATTAAAGCTAAAAAAGATAGGTATGCTTTTAATTTATCAGATTGGCTAATTAATCCTGCTGCGTGTTTGAAAGACTACCGTGGGAAAAAAAGGGCACTAAAACGGGCACTAAAACACTTATAAAAATTAATATTTTATTTTAATTTTACATCTTATATTTTATTTTAATTAAATTTAATATAAAAATTTATATAAAATTAATTAAAAATATTTCATTTAATGAAACTAAAGGCACATGTTAAAAAAAATTAATTAAATCAAAATTAACAATTTATATTTTTAATAAAAATTAATTTAAAAAATGCATTGATTATACTTTTATTTATGTACCCTAAAAATATAAAATAAAAAACTCTTCATATTATATTCATTTATTTATTTATTGACATGTTTTTCTTGTAAACTTAAAATAATACTACCACACGATATAAGAATAGCAATGTCGTTCCAAGAAAAAGGAAAATAAAACGGTTAATTGCAATAAAGACTTACAAGAAGATCAGAAAGTGTATGCACAAGAACAATTTGCTTTCGATTCTCGAGCTTCAATTTCTCAATTTCATTTCTACGCTGATCCAGTTCCTTTGACTGAGTTTGCAACAATTGATTCACCAAACCATTATTTGTTTTCAGAAATTCATTTTCTTGTTGCAATTGCCTGTTCTCTTGCTCAAGTGTCCCCAGATTGCACCTCATTTGATTTTCTTTTTCCTGCAAATTAGTACGTACCATAAGAATTGAAATCAAAAGAAGATCGAAATTAATTAAGGATGCCTAATCTCTCACCAACAATATAGAGGAGAGATGTAATGATTGATGAGAATATCCATTTTTATTACCTTGCATCTAACCCGGTATTCTCTATCGATCTTTCTTTTTCTGGCAAGCCGATCCGGGTCACCTTCCAGTGAGCTCAATTCCGCTAGGGATATATCTGCAGCTTGACCTAATTGTTGCTGAGTGAACGAATTTGTCCCGGTGCTGCGCAACAATTCTTGTAAAAATCTCTCCGTAATAACTACTGCAGACAAGAAGACAATCATCAAACCCTAAATTTCTTTTCTCTTAGAATCTTACTCATATATTTTGAGAAAAAGAGGGGAGCAGGGAGAGAAAGGAAGAAGCTTTCCTTATTCGAATAAGAAAATAAACCGAAAGTTGCTTCCTCTTCTCTTAAACTAAATATATTTTTGTTTTTATTGATTTGCAGAGAAAAGAAAAATTATTAAAACATTGAACCAGGGAGGATTAAGCACTTACGGTCTGCGGCTTCAACTCCATCATCGATGCATTGCTTGTTTGCATCATCTTTCTTATTGTTCTCCATTAATTGATTTTTGGAGAATTAATCTGTGTTTTATGTAATCAGCTCCGTTAGCCGTGAGCATTAAATCTTGGCCTCAACGAGAGACTTTTCGACGACTTAAACGTAACCGTTCGATTGGCTCAGATCCCGGAGTATGCTTTTTAATTGTTAAATATGGACCCCTCCAGTCCCCCAAACCAGGGCACGGCTTGTGTTGTGAAGAATTTTTTTTTGGTTTGTAAAGATGATGAACATAGTTTTAGAGCATTATGAGGTATAATTAATTAATTAATTAATTTTAAATAATAAAGGTGCTGATAAAGATGATATTTTAACACTTTGGCCTTTAGTCCAATTACATTAAATTATATATAAGTGGATTTCTTTTCACTTAAAGTGATGATTTGAATCCGATTTCTTGTAAATTTATTAAAAATAATAATAATAATAAAAATAATATTTTAAGTCCATGGGAGCCACTTTTATCTTTAATTTATTTGCTCTTGGTAGCTTTTTTGAGACTTCTGTGTTACTGATTCAGCAAATAACAAATCGAGTTAAAAATTTTAAAAATATTTTTTTTTTGGTTGGACTGTTTTTTTGTTGAAGTGTAGTTTAATTATTAAAATTATTAAAATATTTTTAATGATATATTTTTATATTTATTTATTAAAAATAATTTAAAATTTTTTAATTTCAGTATCATTTTTTTAATATGCAGTTTAAAATGAAATACTTGATATCTAAAAATTTTCATTGCAATGAGGTTAGTATTTGGAAAAGGAAGACTAGAATGTATAATCTATTACTTCCACTACAATGAGGTCACCTCTAACTTAATTAAAATTTTCTTTTTTTTTTAATTTTTTTTTAAGATGGGGAAATTTTGGAAAATGATTTTTTTTTTCAAGTCGTTAATAGAAATTAAATTCTCGTATCAAATAAACTCAAGCAATAAGACTTCGGGAAGAAGCATTGGGTCGGAAGCTCAATTTTGGTAAAATTTTCATTTGTTGGTTAATAACAAATCATTATGAAATTAAGGAAATTACATTTTTGAAGTGAAATGAATTGGGGTTTTGCTTACTAGGGATGG